CACACCTGGTTATTACAATCAAAGAAAAAGCCCTCATTGTACAGTAGCAGTTAAGTTTAAAATAAATGTTTCTCAAAGGCTGTGTGACTGTGTGCTGATAGACACACTTTAAAAGTTAAAGACACAAAAACTTCATGGTCACGATCTTATTCTCTAATCCTGGGATATGTGTCAAACATTATGGGGGGTGGGAATTGTTTATGGATGGCTAACTCCCGTCAGCAGCCCAGTGCCATGAGGCGAGAGTGGCTCCCATGCCCTGGGGTACAGGTGACGACCTCATCCACTATGACAAAGCACAGTCCTGTGAGCCCTGGACAAACTTACTGTGACCACATAAGTGTCACGATCGCTTACCTCTCCTCTTAAGGGCGCTCCAGCCCTCCCTTGTTCTGTCTCATTTCCCCGCACCTGTTCCTTATCCTAACCCCCTTTTCAGTCTGCCTTAAAAGCCAGGCGCTCACGTCATTCGAGGCTCTACATTGAATCCCGTTTCATGTGAGCCCGGGTCCTGCTGCGTCTGGCTCCGTCATGTTTTTAACTTTCTGTTCCTGTTCCCCCCCCACCGGTTCCGACCCGGTTCCCGTTTTTATTCTCCCGGACGGATCGCCTGGCCTTGGACTTATGCTTCTGTTTTGGATTCCCTGTCTGGACTTCTACTTAGATTGTTCGCCCCGGACTCACTTCCCCTGGACACCTGCACACCAAGGACACGCCCCCTGTCTCCATTCCCGTCTCCTGCATGACTTTCCCCCCCCAGTGTTTCCTCACTATTCCGGATTGTGTCGTCTGCATAGGGCTTGGAAAGAACTGTGCGTGACAATCAGGGCACAGAGAGGCAGTATGTTGTCAAGACAAAAAGCGTTAACTGGCTGTCCAGGCATCATGTGTCTATCCCAGCCTTGACTGGCAAGCTTCCGGTAGGGGGGTTCTGGTATTTTTCTTATTGCTGAGCTCTTTGTGAGAACAAACACGAATCCTTTCATGCCCTAATCACACCTGTTGTGCGGATTTATCCCAGACCGCCCACGGAAATGGAGCACCAGGAATCAGGCTCACGTGTTTACCAGCAAGGGCTGGGACTTGGAATATGAGGGCCATGTGGGCATGTTGGCACCCAGTGATACTGTACCTGGCTGCTGGCAAATGGGCAGGGGTGTTATTATACCAGGTTAGCCAGGTGAGAAGAACATCTCTCTTCCTCATGAATATGCCAAACCACAAATCCTGGAGTGTGCCAAGACTGTCAAAACTGGTTTATGCGGAAGACGCAGCCTGCAGACCCGCCTGTGTGCTGGTTATTCTAAGGTTCAGTGGACAGGATGTGACCCCTCCTCACAGCCGTTATCTACAAGCACAGGTGAGAGAGCGATATGAGATGGTTTGCATCTCCATTGTGCGTGTTTGTGAGAAGACAAGTTTGGCCACCAAACTATGCTTCAAGTCCACACACGGCCAGCCAGCCTCGCTGGCAGCTCATGCCTAGTTACTGCATCCACACAAAGGAAGTGGGATGTGTCTGGACGTGGGTGTTTGGCGAGAAAACCCAAGGATTCCTTGTGAGGAACGTCACCAGCCAGGAGGTTCACTCCTGCCTACACAGCAAGCCACTCACTTCCCACCTCGGGAATACCAGAGCGCTGCAGCTCCTGGGTGACTCTTTGAAGTCTAGGCTTGAGTAGCGTTCAGTGGAAATGGAGATTCAGGAGACCCTGACAAGCTGGTTGAGGACAGCAGAGGCAAACCTACGTCCTCTGAGCACCGACCTGCCCATGCACAAAATAGGACAGCCTAGAGGCAAGTCAAGCAGACAGCTACACCTGCTGGCTGCTGGTGCTTGTCTTATTATCCTCTATCTCAGTGATCAGTCCACGCATTCTCACTATATCACTGAGCCCTGCATTCCTATCAGATGCCTGAACCTGGTACGTCTGGTGTTCTGATTGGCTAGTAGCGATCTATGTTCTTTCCCTTGCGGTTTGCTGGCTGGAGCAGACATTCTGATTTGGGTATACTACAACTGTAAAAAGAACAACAATTTGCATTTAATATTAATCATTTTGTTCAAGAGAAATTGGAGTGCCTAGAATTTTAGGGCTGTATTGATCTAAAACTATATTACAAAATCAATATAGACATCTACAATCTTTGTATTACTCTATTGGATTACAATGGCATCCACAGTCTCTGAATATCTAGACTATATAAATAACCAGCTCGGTACATTGTTTATAGTAAGTTATCCTACACCAATTTTCCAAGTACAAGAATCATCAAATTTCTCACAGACAAATCTGCAATAACAGATAACATGAACAATGCTATTGCTACAAGTGTAACAAAATTAACCATTTGAACGCAAACATAAAACAATAATTTTAAAGAGACAAACCCACAGCTTCAAAACTATAAAAAAGCAAAGGTATAAAAAGTTCAATGCCATAGGAAATAACTTGATGAATGCTATATCTAATAAATCCGCTTTAAGGAATTAAAGAAGCTTAAGATGGTTAGAATCTGCAAATGAAATGTTGCTCCAAAAACAAGCATCAAGTCTAGTGACCCTGAGTATCTTGCTCTGAATCAGTCGTCAAAACAGGTTTCAAATCTCCTTGAGGATAAGAAGCTGAACACTCCCCACCCTCACCTCTCGTCCTCTGAAATGTGAAAATAAAAAGGCGAAAATAATCTGCTCCTGATACCCGCTTTTCACGAAAACTGGGCGGCAGAACACAAACTGAAACGTGCTCAACTTCATAAGGGCGGGAGGGTGCAAAATTTTAAGTCTTAACCTTGACGTTACCAATTAAGAAACAGGGGAGATAACAACTCTGTCATTTAGAGAAAAAAAGGGGAAAAGTGGCTAAACCACCCAGTTTAATTAAAACAGTGATTAAAATATAAAAAAAGACAAGGATTAAATTACCAAGCACAGCCAGGGAGAGAGAGAGTGAACGTCTGCCCAATCGAATGTGCCCTATCTCTCCCTCTAATCCCCTCTCTCTCACTTGCCTTCCTTCAGCAGAAGTTCTAATTAATTAAAGAATAAATAGTGGGAAAGGAGCAGTAATCTCTAAATCTGTCCTCTGAAATGTTCCTTTAATTTCAGCTACATGTTTTATGAGCAGAGCCTAAGAACGATAATGTTCTCTATGCCAGCACAAGCCTCCCTCACTCACTCACAGACTCTCACTCTCTCCCCCCCATTTGCAACCTGGCTTTCTTCCTCGCTGTCTCTTTAAGGTGTGATCTATATTCGATGACAGTTTAATGAGAGTTTTCCTATTTCAAGGAATCTTATCACATCATTAAAAAAAAAAAGAACGGGGATGAATAATAGATCTGATGGTGAGACAGCCTCTGCAACTTCACTCAAGCGCTCTAGTGGTGAGAGGAGGGAAAAGACAGGGTGCTTTTGTCTTACAAGGGCTCCTTCTCCGGCTAATTAACAGAGCGACGCCGCTTTCTTTAGTTTGGAAGAATGCACGCCGTCATTTCAGACGCAAACAAGGAATATTCAAAAACAAAAGAGAGAGGGACTGTTCCTGAGCTCCGCGCTGTCGCTTCATGCAGCTGCAGGGGTGGAGGACGGGCACAAGTGATCGAGAGCTCCCTCCTGATTTTTACAGCCTCCGCACTCTGCCAATTGCTCTGCTCTGTCAGCTTAATTGGGCTGTTTCCGCTCTGTGAAGTGCCGGGGCCCATTTTAATTGGCTTTCTTTTAACCGGACAGCAACTCTGATTGGATGGAACACAGTGGGTAGCCTAGGACACATCAGCACTCAAGCATGAATTCCTGGGAGACACTGGGGTTCCTGCTCCTGTGCTCCAAGACCTAAGGCTATGCGCTCCTGGACCCCATTCATTCTTTATTGTTATCATAATATGACATTGGCCGGTATAACCCCATTGAAAGTCACTTCCTTTACGCAGTTTACTAAGCAAGGAGACAGACAGTTTCTCAGCTCTGCCCTTTCCACTTTAATGAGCAGTGAAATGCCCTGCCATTAACATTTTCAGTCTGATTACTCTGAAACCAGAACTAGATCGCTCCATTCTCAGCTTTTTAAGCACTCTCCCTAGGTAACTCAATGAATATTAAGGCTCAATGGCCTCATAAGACAAGTTGCGCTGTCACTGTGCAAGCCCGGTCTAACAAACGTTAAAATACATCATCCAAGACACTCAGTGCGCTGTCGCTCCCCTAAAAGACAGCGATGCCACGGTGCTCATTTTTCTCCTTGGAGCTGCGCCAATGTCACCCCGATATCTGCTGAAAGCACTGCCAGGCTTGGCTCTCCAGCGCCGTCACCCCCTGCCCCTCCGTAATGAGCACCGTGGCTCTCCAGCTCCCCCGCGCCGCCACCTTGCCTGATAATGAGCCCGGCCGAGCCGCGTCCCGAAGCGTCCAGCTCCGACACCCCCGGCCCCGTAATGAGCACTAAAAGTCGGCGGCGGGTTCCGAGAGGCGCTCACTCTCTCGATGTCTCAGTTCCATCCTAATTGCTTGTTTGCCTCGTTTCAGGTGTTCGCTCAGATTTTCCCGTTCAAAGCTGCCTGGAGGAAAATCCGCGGTGTCCCTTCGTTATCCAGAATAACTTGTGAACGGGGGCTTGCTGCGGGGGGGGGCAAACACTGCAAATTAACTGTTTTATTTGTCCCCCCCCCCTCCCACACACACACACCTGATAACAGCTAAAACCCTTTATGCAGTAGGTCTAAATATGGATGACAGACGCAGTCTGAGAGGTGTTTTCACATACTGTATACATGATTGTTCAGTTCATTAAGTCAATAAATCACTTTGGCTGACAAATTTCTTTTACAGGATGTGGCGCCTTCGCTCCTTGTGGTAACAGGAAAGTTCTGTTGAGGCGGAGTGCTGTCAAATAGCCCGCTGTCCTACACACAGCACTCCCGCTTTCCAGGGGGAATTCCTCCCCTTTATGCCTTTAAGGGATTTTCCAAAAGATGTCTCAGCACCGGCCACTCACCTCACTCTCAATGACACACAGGCCTGTAGAGAACGTGTCATCTTGTGAACAGATGAACCAGTCCTGCCTTCACGGATTCAGCCTGCTCTCGCAGTAATGCAGTCTCAGGTATTCCATCACAGTGCTTCTACGAGAACACCCCCCCAACAAACCCTGAGTTCTCTTTATTTTTTCCATTCCCCTCTTATTCAATATCTTATTTCCTTTAATTCCCAGGGAGTTTTCTTTCATTACAAATGGCCATTGGCTATAATTTACTGACTCCTTATGTGTACATTGAATAAAAAGAGCGAATTGCCTTCGGCCTTGTTCTGAGTCAGAGAAATGGTCTGGTGGTACCAAGATGCCAGTGGTTTTAGGGAAACCAGCCTGTTTTTTTTTTTTCCCCATCGACAAGCTGACAGAATCAAATCGCCAGCGGCAGTGTGAGCAAGTCTGAAGTCGGGTGTTGGAAATCCCCCCCCCCCGAGCAAGCGTCACGGCCCACGAAGTGTCCGGTTTTAGGTGTTTTTCACTTGTACGTCTTCCTCGGCCCCCCTACCCTTTAAGCTTTTTATCTGGAGGTCGCTCGCTCTGCTCCACCCGTCTGGACCTCACCTGCTGAGCTTCCCTCCCTGCCGCTCTGTCCCTCCTCTCCCGGCACGCTGGTGCAGTACTGGTGCAGGAAATGCCAGGGCTGTTTCAGGCACTAATGGACGGCTCGCTGCAGAAAGGCAAAGAATACAGCGAGATCAGGACACCTTCTTTGTCCTCGGACATCCATGGAAGGCCTAAGCAGGGGCAGCGACTTAAGAAAATGTTGCATTATTTCCCTTTAACTCTCGTTTTTTACTGCTGTTTTTCCCATGCAGATACTGGGAAGACCAGGCACAGCCCGGGCACTGAAGTTGGTCCTTCCTAGGGCAATCAACATCTTTAAAATCTGTATTAGATCATTAGATCAGTTTTTTGTTTCCTTCTTAAATCATAGCTTTAATTGATTTTTATCTGAAAAAAAAAAAACATGACTTGCGCGCACTTTATTTTCCCAGGCAGATTAAAAGATAAATCCGGTCTTCCTTGTCAGTGTGGAGAGGGAAGTGATAGATACCAAAGATCTCTGGCTCCATTAATGCCTCAATGCTGTATTGAATGTGTGAGCTCTCAGATCCCCGTCTCCTGTCCAAAATTGATTTCACCAGCTCTCTCTCTCATCTATGGTTCTTTTCTTTCTGTTTAATTGGTTGCTTATCAGTACACTAGTACTTAGCTATCAAAAGTGTATTGAATTTGAAGAAACTGAGATCACAAGTGCCTCTTGCAACATTGTTAAAACGATTCACTAATTACCTTTACTAGGAATTAATCTTTTCATTGGGAGGCTATTCATCATTGTTGATTTTTTTTCTGAAAGTGGAGGAGCTCATGTTATCAAAATTAGCAAATGCCAACCCCAAATATCAAGAGCAGCACTTTGATCTTCTTTACCTGAACTTTAGAATTTGTACTTCATCTATGCTATTTCCCTTCTATCCATTTTTCTCACTCAGAGAGAAAGAGAAATCACAGCATGACAAAAAATATTTCACATCAGCTGACATCTAAGGCACTGCTGCTCTGTGGTTTCATAAGAGAGATATCCGTGGCTCTTTTAGATTAATGTTAGCTGTGTCTGATCCATGTCACACCAACCTTGAAGGTTCACACTGCTGAGCTCAATCAACCATTCACAGTTGCTGTCATAAAGAAATTATACCTCAAATTAAAAGAAAACCTAGATGCCAGTGCTGAATTCAAGCCAATCTTTATTCAGAATCTTAGTGTGGGACACTACTCAAAAATCATAAAACCACAGAGCATATTCACGACATATATCAGAATCATTTGAAACGACAGGGAGAACTTCAGTAGGTAGGATTGCATACAGCCTACTTGAAAGAATCGCTAGATGTCTGAGAAATCATACTTTTGAAGATTATCTGAAGGCTCAGGCGGCACAGTACTTTGTATCGTTCTTTCCATGTTGTGGATCAGGATTATAATGCAGATAAGAACAAATGACAAATGACAAAATGGTTAAATGAATTACCATAATCAGCATTACAGTGGTCACGTACTCAAGCATGGAGAAACTGGCTTGGCAACCTGGACTTACTGTACCAAGTGCTCATAAATAACTTGTACTGTATTTAGATTGAGGGGCTTCTGGTGCTGCATGCCTAAATCAGAAATCCAATAAGAAATGTTTAGCTATGATGCAGCTTCCCAAGCAATTAACCTAGTCTTCTTTCATGCTTATTCTAACTGACGTGCTGTTTAGGATTTTTCCCCAAGATAAAAGCAAACCATTATTTTGGAAGACATCTCACGGTCCACAAGGTTTATCATTAACTCCCCTTATGGTAATGTAATGTCACGCGCTGTAAGTGAACCAACCATCATCTCCTTCTAATAAGTTGTTTTTAACACCTTGATGTGAGTGCTGTTTAGCAATTGGAGGAATTCGTTTGGACACTTTCAAAAACATCATGCTAATTACCAGTTCTAAGATCTGCCAGACGAGCCAGCTTTTGCAGGTTTAATTACCTGTGACTCTGTGGTTGGCAGCTGGGGCACAGGAGTGGACATGAGAGCATACAGAGTTCATGACAGCTGAAGATGTTCAGGAGAAGAATCTGACAATTACCAATACGACACCTGATCTTGTGTGCTTAATCTAGTCGGATCTTATGCACGACTGATCTTATAGTACGGTAGCCAAACGTATGTAAAACAATGGCTCTAAAACATGAACAGTGTTGTAAAATCACAGCATTCTTAATTTCTCTGAAATACATAAGCACATTAGTACATTAGTATGTCCCTTAAAAGCATTTGTATGATTCCAGCAGAATGAAGACTCAACTTACCAATATGTCTTCTGCAACTGATATCTAACCAATATTACTGCTATTAATCAAAAGCAGACAACAGCTTGCATTTAAATAAGACTTTTTTTTTCCCCACTCCACTATAATCTTTAAGGATTTGCAAGGAGTAATCTGGGCTGTTCAGAGAAAGATATCTTTTGAGTCCTCATTTGTACAGGACAAATTTTTACGAAAGTTTTGCACTGCAGCCTGACTGACCAGTGTTCTTTGGAATCATTCTGGTATGGAATCATCTGCCACGGGAAGTTTACTCTAAGCTTACAGCCAGAAAATGATCAAATGAAGAGAAGAAAGCGAATACCTGTACTTAATAATGCTTGGCACCTCACTGTGGAAGCACCATGCATTTAATTGATGAAAACAGGAAAATTAATGGCTTGCACTAAATGAAACTTTTAATGAAAGTTGGGGAGGAAGGAGTTCACCCTCACCTCTTGTAACACTGCCCAAAGTCACTTTACGAAATGCTAGAAAACAATGATCAAAAGCCCCTCTCCTTCTCACGTTTCCTTCTGCCTCCCTCCTGCCCATCTCTGCCTGCAAGGAGTACCTCTTGGTTTACTCCTCACTCAAACTGGGGTCCTGAATTCCTCATCCTACAGCCAGGTGATTGGCCAAATAAAGAGTCCAAACTCTCTGTATGCTGCCTTTCAATAAACATTCATTCTGTGATTTCTAATTGGGTGATTGTATTACTCATGGAAATATATCTCTCTTAATGTGCACAGACTCCAGCAACGGCCTGAGAAAGCACTCTGTCTGTTGACGTGCTCATTTCCTGCTGTAGCACGCTTGTCTTCCTGTGTGAGACCTGTGAGAGAGCCAGCCCGCACATCACAGCCCTTAAAGCACTGGTTCAATCAAGCTGTCTGATTCCACAAGAGGGCAAGCCAGGCTCCACTGCTCCAGCACAGCAACACAGGGGCTGGCCTCCCCTGCTGAAATTGATGGCTTTTTTTTTGAAGATGACTCATTCTTCTCCCATCCTCCACTTTCTTTTTTTGGAGGAGGGGTTGGAGGGTGGGAGGGGGGGGGTTCATTATATTTATGATTGTAACTACTGGTGTGGAAAAACCCATCTTCTGGGCCAGTAAATCTGGAAATGGAGTACTTGTTGAGGTCAAAAAGAGACAAGGTTTGTGCAGAAAGTGCAAACTTGTTTGGGTTAGGGTGCAATAAGTACCAGCGGAGGGAGTCTGAGATCTCTGACGGCTTTTTCTAAGATACACTCCAAGATTTTAAATAACACATGTAGAGGGAGGGAGGGGATCTCTTTTCATAGCCTAGTGGATGCCTGAATTTCACTGCTGCGATAGTTTCTCTGAAGTCACCACTAGCACATAGCTTTTGGGTTATTTTTCTGTCACTAAATTTGAATTTGTAGGAATTATGGGACGTAGTGGTGAACTGTAAAAATAAACCAACATATCACATGGTCTCAGGACAGTGCGGTAAACCTGGGGAATGTGCCTGACAAGTAAATGGGGAGTTTAAACGGATTTGGTGAAGATATTGAGAGAAAAAAAAGGAAAAATAAAGGAAAGCAAAACGAAGAATGTCCAAATTCAGGAAGGGAGGTCAAAACGATAAAACCATGCATGCTTACAAAACACAAGATACTTAACAAATGGCTTTTACTATTTATCCTACAGCATATACATCTGCTTTCTGACACCGGTTTTAGGTCTTTTTAACGGACAGGTCACCACTGTGTACACAGTTGTATGTAGGGTGTAGGAGTTGATAGAGATTTGTGATCTAAACTACAAGGTTGTCTCCAGGAAATTCCAAGTGAGACCACACTGTTGGACTCTTGGTGCGGTAGAAATGTCTAGCTGAATAAATGGGTGCAAATGGAAGTTCCTTTGGACAAAAGGGCGAGCCGAATAAAATAGTAATGCACCAACGGTAAAGCGTGATTTGTGCACCTTTGAAAAAATGCGCAACAGTGCTCATATTGTGGTTACCAAGAAAGCAAATTGGATGTGGTGCTTCCAGAGGTCTGTGGAGGGCACAGCTGATGCCCAGCTGCTTTTCACGAGAAGGCGACAGGACACTGATCCGCCCAGTTTCTTGCTCGCCGGTCTCTGCATTTCTCCGTTCGAAAAGCCAAGCTGCAGGGGGTCAAGGGAGCTGCAGGACAGCTAGCAGCACCGCATCTGGGATTTCAGTCACATTTCTACTCTGGCTGGACCTGTGGGCCCTAGCAAGCACGCTGCTAAACAGAAGGCACCTGTATACATTATTAACGGGGTTTGTTTTCCTCCAGCTGTCATGGAGAAATCCGAGGTGGAGGTGTTTAACCCTTCGCGCTCGGAAATATCCTCCATCTGTCGTCGGCGGCAGCCACTTCATCGCCCTTCGGCTTCATTCAAGAACCAGCTGGATGAGATCCTTGGACCAATGCATGGCTTCCAAATGGAAGCTGGTCTGAATGACGATCTCTTGCTTGCAACCTTATGTTCTTATGCAATGCGATTTCAATATAATATCAAAAACTTTAAGGAGGGAAGCCAGTCACAAAACAACCTCACTTCAGCAGAGTTCCTTCAAAAACACAAGAGGTATGTGCTGTTAATCCAAATTAGCCAAGTATTTGAATGAAGTTAATGAATTACGTGTTTTAATTATAATCTAATTAAGTGAAATGTGACCTTTTGGTTATTCATCAAAAGCAGAAAGAAAGCCGAAGTTTTTATGTCTGTAAAACATTGCATGCATGCGTTAAATTCGATGCAGCACTGCCACTGATAACAAACCCATTCCTTATGACAATTATTTAGAGCAGGGGAAA